GAAAATAATTTTTTAAAAAGTTGTTTCGAAGAAGAACTAAATAGAAATTGTAGAAATTTAAAAAAACATGCATTAAGAAAAGCTTAGCTACGGGGCGCCTGGCTGGCTCAATTGGTAGAGCACACAACTCTTGATCTCAGGGTTGTAAGTTTGAGCCCCTTTGGGTGTAGATAGCTTAAAAATAAAATCTTTAGGGGCCCCTGGGTGGCTCAGTTGGTTGGTCTGCCTTCGGCTCAGGTCATGATCCTGGGTCCAGGGATGGAGCCCCACATCAGGCTTCCTGCTCAGTGGAGAGCCTGTTTCTCCCACTCCCTCTGCTACTCCCTCTGCTATACTCTCTTTCTCTCTCAAATAAATAAATAAAATCTTAAAAATAAGTAAATAAAATCTTAAAAAAAAGCTTAGCTAGACATAACATTGAATTTGGTCATTTGGGCAGTATATCTACCTTCTCTGGCCTCTGTAGCTCATTTGCTTATCTTTTTCCCCCAGAGAAATAATCAGCACTTGGAGCTCTAGGACCTCCTCCATGATCTCTCTCCATCTCCTTCCCAAGGTAGCATGGGTGTATTTGATGAGTACTTTTGAACAGTTAACCAGCGGATCCCTTGGAATCAAATATAAGTTAAATTTGCATGCTGAATCAAGCCCATTTCTATAAAGCTCTTTAGGTCCTTTTGAAACCATAGTTCCCCACTCAGTGCTCTGGCCAGGATAGAGTTGATAGGTACCCTTAAGCTACATTTTAGGGGCAGCCCCAGTGGCTCAGCAGTTTAGTGCCTGCCTTCAGCCCAGGGCCTGATCCTGGAGTCCCGGGATCGAGTTCCACGTCAGGCTCCCTGCATGGAGCCTGCTTCTCCCTCTGCCTGTGTCTCTGCCTCTCTCTCTCTCTCTCTCTGTGTGTGTGTCTCTCATGAATAAATAAGTAAAATCTTTAAAAAAAAGCATAAAATTAAAAAAATAAGCTACATTTTAAAGCCTTTTCTGATATTACTTATCATTATTTTAAAAATAATACCTTTTTAAACTAATAATATTTGTATGCATCTGAAGAATACAAAGAAGTAGGTACATATCATTTGTAATCACATTAGTTAAACTTGGGGCATCTGGTGTCCATCGACGGATGAATAGATAAGAAGATGTGGGATATATGTATAATGGAATATTACTCAGCCATCAGGAAAAAGAAATCTTGCCATTTGCAGTGATGTGGGTGGAACTAGAGGGTATAATGCTAAGTGAAAGAAGTCAATCAGAGAAAGAATTATCATATGATCTCACTCATGTGGAATTTATGAAACAAAACAGGAGCATAGGGGAAGGGAGAAAAAATAAAACTATGAACTCAGAAAGGGAGATAAACCATAAGAAACTCTTAATCAGAGGAAACAAACTGAGGGTTTTTGGAAGGGAAGTGGGTGGGGGGCTGGGGTAAGTAGGTGATGGGCATTAAGGAGGGCACGTAATGTAATGAGCACTGAGTATTATATAAGACTGAAAAATCTTAGGAACGCTACCTCTGAAACTGATAATACATTGTATGTTAACTGAATTTTAAAAATTTTTAAAAGATGAATAAATAAATAAAAAATAAAAGTGGGGCATCTGGGTGGCACCATTGGTTAAGCATCTGACTCTTGGTTTCAGCTCAGGTAGTGATCTCAGGGCCATGAGTCAAGGCCTACATCCGGCTCTGCACTCAGCACAGGGTCCGCTTAAGATTCTCTCTCTGGGGCATCTGGATGGCGCAGTTGGTTGAGCCTCTAACTCTTGGTTTCGGCTGGGATCGTGATCTTGGAGTGGTGGGATCAGCCCAGCTTTGGGCTCTATGCTCAGCCCAGAGTCTACCTGGGACTCTCTCTCCTTCTGCCCCTCCTCCTCTCTCTAGAATAAATAAATAAATCTTTAAAAAAAAAAAAAAAGAGGGACACCTGGGTGGCTCAGCGGTTGAGCATCTGCCTTCGGCTCAGGGCGTGATCCTGGGATCTGGAATCGAGTCCCACATCATGCTCCTTGCAAGGAGTCTGCTTCTCCTTTTGACTGTGTCTCTGCCTCTCTCTCTCTGTGTCTCTCATAAATAAATAAATAAAAGATTTTCTCTCCATGGGACACCTGGGTGGCTCAGTCGTTAATTGTCCAAGTCTTGGATTTAGCTCAGTTTATGATCTCAGTGTTGTGAGATCAAGCTCTGCGCAGGGCTCCACATTGAGCATGGAGTCTGCTGGGGATTCTCTCTCTCCCTCAGTCTCCTACACTGCTTGCATGCTGTCTCTCTAAAAAATAATAATAATAAAATAAAATTAATTAATTTTGTTCTATGCACTGTGCTAAGTTTTGGGGGTGTAGCAATATGTATTTTGATAGAATTTTTGTTTATATATATACATGTATAGTTTAAAGATTTTATTTATTTATTCATGAGAGACACAGAGACAGAGGCAGAAACCCAGGCAGAGGGAGAAACAGGCTCCCCGCATGGAGCCTAATGTGGGAGGACTCGATCCCAGGACCCCAGGATCACAACCTGAGCCAAAGGCAGACGCTCAACCACTGAGCCACCCAGGCGTCCTTTTATATATATTTTTGAGCTTATAATATACACATTTATAAAAGTGGGCTCCTACCTTGTATGCCATCATGTATCCTGTTTTTATACTTCAAACCATCCAAGCATTTTCTTGTATGTCATCTAGTCTTTGAAACATGATTTTAATTAATTTGTGCCTACTATTGCATTTTATGGGTGTGTCACAATTTCTTTAACCAAGCACTAGCACCACACTTAACCCACTTTATTTTTTTAAAGATTTATTTATTTGAGAGAGAGAGAGAGAGCACATGGGGGAAGTGGCAGAGGGAGAGGGAGAGAGTCTTAAGCAGACTCTACACCAAGTGTGGAGCCCAACACGGGGCTCAGTCTCACCACCCTGAGACCCTGAGACCCCAACCCAAGCCAAAACCAAGAGTAGGACCCCCAACCGACTGTGCCACACAGGGGCCCCTAACTCACTTTTGAAAACCTCTTCTGTGACCTAGTGAGTTAGCTGGAAAACAAGAAGAATTCAGTAAAGGTATCAACTTCAACCTTGAAATCTAAGGTTGAGGTCTGGGAATCACCTCTTCCAAGTTCTCCCCACCATGGGGTGTGGGTCAGAGATGGGGGGTTGGGTTGACTTGGCCTTTCACAGGGACTGGGCTTCAGGTGGAGCTTTCAAAGAAAAATTCAAAGTCAGACCATGACTGTCTCTCTGAGAACAGTGACAGGGCTCTAGACCAGAGCAGGGCAGGGAACCCAGAAGTGACCATCCGGGGACACTCTACTGTGAGGCAGCCAGAAAGATCTGCCCCCCGCAACCCCTTGAGCAGAGAGGTGCCAAGGTGTGACCATACCTGCCTCTGAGCACCAGATTCATCTGGAGCTGAAGGTACTTTGAAAGGACTTTGTCCAGTGGAGGGAAAGAGGACACATTAGGAAGACCTCCCTCACCCTCACATTAGGAAGACTTCCCTATCACAGGAAGTGCACTTGGAACTGAGTTGGACTGCATTTTGATCTTTCCAGCTCATTCAGCTTCACCCACACTGTCTGAAGGACTGGGGTGAGGTGGATTACACAGGTGGTCCCCAATTTACGATGGTTCAACTTAGGATTTTTCAACATTAAGATGGTGTGAAAGCCACACGCATTCAGTAAAAACCATACTTGGAGTTTGGAATTTGGCTCTCATCCTGGGCTAGCGGTGTGCAGGTGATCCTCCCTCGGGATGCTGGTCAGCCAAGGTCAACGACAGATACACTGACAACCGTGCTGTGCCCACACAGCAGCTCTGCCTGTAGCTTCCAGCACGGTGTTCAGAACATTACGGGAGATGATCAACAGTTTGTTGTAAAATAGGTTTTGTGTCAGATGATTAGCCCAACCTGCAGGCTAATGCCAGTGTTCTGAGCACATTTAAGGGGGGCTGGGCCAAGCTGTGATGTTCGGTAGGTTAGGGGTATTAAATGCATTTTCAACTTATGATGGGTTTGTCGGGACATAACCCCATCATAAGCCAAGGAAGCCCTGTATGGTCTGGCTGTGTGCCAGCGAAGGTCTCACCCTCCTGGGAATGAACTCCGGCCTATGGAGCCGTGGGCTTGGTTCTGCTGGATGCAGAAGAACAGGGCACTTGGCCAGGTACCAGCATCTAGAGTCCCTGGCATGGGCCAGATGCTAGGTTAAGAGATTTTCAATGGGGCAGCCCGGGTGGCTCAGCGGTTTGGCACCCGCCTTCAGCCCAGGGTGTGATTCTAGAGACCCGGGATCGAGCCCCGCATCGGGGCTGCTGCTTCTCCCTCTGCCTGCATGGAGCCTGCTTCTCCCTCTGCCTGTGTCTCTGCCTCTCTGTGTCTCTTATGAGTAAATAAATAAAATTTTTTTTAAAAATCACTTAAAAAAAAGAGAGAGAGAGATTTTCAATGGGTTTATCTTGTATGACTTCAGGGCACTGGCCCTGCCTGGAAAGGGAGCCCTATCCATTCACTCAATTGATGAGCACTGACGGAGCACCAGCGATGTACCAGAAACTGCTCTCGATACCGGGCTGTGGTAGCAGACGAGGTGTATAGTCCCTGCTGTCATGTAGCTTGGGAGTCCACTGGGATATTGTTTCTCCCATTTTTCAGAGGAGGAAGCCGGGGTCCAAGAGGTTAAGGAAGTTTGCCCTCCTTACCCAGCTGGCCCTGGCAGAGCCAGGAAAGGAGCCGAGTCCTGCATGGCTCTAGCCCTTGCTCTTGCCCTCTCTGCACTTCCAGATTGTGCCAGGTCCCCGGGGAAGCTTCTTCCCAGCTGTGCACACATTTTGTTCACTGCGTCCATTTAAGAAGCAAGCCTGACTCAGGCTGCCCTTGGCTCATTCTGATTCACCATGACTGTGTAGAGAACTGGACAGACTTCCTGCTGGTTAATGAGTACCAGCGTCCTAACTGGGCCAAGGCTGGGCTTCTACACTGGCTTCGCCCTGGAGCACGTTGGCAGATGAGTGGGTGGCAGAAGTCGGGGCCTCCCTTAGATGTATATAGGCACCGGCATGATAGAGGAGGGCCCCGTGACTCGAGGCAAGCTGGGCGGAATGCAGGAGCCCCACTGTGCTTCTAGAAGCTGGGTTCCCACTGCCGCTGCCACACACCCTGACTTCCCACCCAGGCGCCAGGATCCGACTTGGAACACTCGGCCTGACAAACAGCTTCTCTTGGAATCGACCCACCTGTTCCTTTGTTAACATAAACAAGAGCTCTTCTGTACGAGGTAATTAGGGAGTGATGGAGCAATGCTGGGGATGTCTTAGACGTGGCAGTTCCAAACAGCGTGATAGCTCATCGCCCTCAACCCCCTGTCAGGACACCCACTCTCTTCTTGGGGTGCCCACGGCACCTGCTCGGTGGGGAAGGATGTGGAGAAGGCTCCGGTTGGTCAGCTCAGGAAAACTCTGAATTCTGCTCTCAAGTTACTGCTGCTGGTCTGACCTTCCAGGAGGCGGCCCAGTGGTCCTGTACTGGCCTGGGAATCAAGAAAGCTCCTCTCAGCCGGGGTGGGAATGGCAGCAAGGCACTGGCCCCAAGAGCAGTTGTTGAGCCCATTGGAAGTGGGGTTTTCTTGGGGAAAGGAAGCAGCCCAAGCTTCAGGCGTGTTGCCCCCCATGCTTGCTTCGCTGGTGCTGTCGGCAGGCCAGATGCAGGCAGCTGCCCATTCTCCGGAGAGGTGGCATTTCAACGTGGTAGCCGATGGGTGAACATTCCCCCAAAACTAGCCCCAAGAATGAAGGCTGTTTCTCTCAGAAAAGCTGCCAAGTGTGCCTCTTTCTCCCTCCCCAGCATGATTGGTTCTCACTTGTTATGGTGCCTGGAGGGCAGGGGCCAGGGCTTATCTGTTCATCTGTTGCCTGGCACAGAGAAGAGGCTTAATGCAAATCTGTGAGTTGCCAGAGCATCTGTCTGAAGTGGGCACGTGGAGGCCTCTGGATCTGCAAGGGGCGCGTGAGGCTGTGCTCCCAACAGGAGAGAGGGGGCTGGCAGGAGCACCTGCTTTTCTGATCTGAGACTCAGCTGCAGGCCTTGCAGCGGGGAGAGCCCAGTGGTCAGGGGTGTGGGTCTGGAATTGGGCAGCTCCAAGCTCACACCTGTCCATCCCCGCCACCCACTCAGGGCGGTCACCTCCTGCCTTCCTGACCCACTTCTCAGCTGCCCACATCTGAGATGCAGCACTAAAGCCAGTGTCGTGGGCCGGGCGGGGAGAAGCGAGCTTCCTCGTGTAAGATGCTTCGCTCTGGGCCGGGGCCCCACAAGACCACAAGCCATGTCAGCTGCTGGTCGCTTGAAGTGGGACCAGCTGAAACTGCCGCTATTCGACCATCTCTGACCTATGAAATGGTGGTTTCTCATGGTTCCACCTGACATTGTCACCCCGCTGACCGCCTGGATGCTGGCACCTGGGGTTGGCTTGTGCTGAGGCTCCTGCCCACCCCTCCCCCAAGGAGTCAGCCCCCACCCTGCAGGGTCACCTGCAGCTCCCTCCTTGCTAGGTGGGGAGACGGAAACCAGGGACGCAGGTTCTTGCCCAAAGATGTACAAAGGGGGGACCTAGGTCCCGATTCCGATTTTTTTGAGTCCTAGTTCAGTTCTCTTTCCGCCGTTTGGTCTCAAGCTGCTGCTGCGGTGGGAGCCAGGGCTGGGTCCAGGCGGGTCAGCTACCTACACGAGGTGCTCAAGCACCACCAGAAATGTAACGACGTGTGGGAAGATGGCATTTTTCCAGAACTCCTCCCAGAGGCAGTACTTAGCCAGGGGTTAGAAGTGGCTTAAGTCCCAGCTCTGGGGATTCCTGGGTGGCTCAGCGGTTTAGTGCCTGCCTTCAGCCCAGGGCCTGATCCTGGAGTCCCAGGATTGAGTCCCGCATCGGGTCCCCTGCATGGAGCCTGCTTCTCCCTATGCCTGTGTCTGTGCCTCTCTGTCTGTGTCTCTCATGAATAAATAAAATCTTAAAAAAAAAAAAAAGTCCCAGCTCTGACACTCGAGTGTTAGTTAGTGAGCTCAGTTTCCTCATCTGCACAATGAGATTAAAATAGTGTCTATCTTATGGGAAGTGTCATGGGTATTAAATGAATGACTATGTGTAATTGGTGTTGTAAACATTAAAATTTATAAATACGATTTACAAAAAATTTTGGAAAATGTAGCAGAGCACTTAGAAGAGTGCTAGCCCCTCGTAAAAGCCATGTAAGTATTGGTTATGACGATTATGAAGGCATTTGGGGATGGTGTTGTCAGCAGGCGAGCCAGTTTGGGCCGGCGCTAAGTTGCTGAGAATAGAGAGGAGCCCTGAGCTCACACAGAGGTTCCTTTTCCTCTGCACCTGCCCTCCTGTGCCTGCTTTGGCTGTAAAGGCACAAGGGACAAATACTTAGACAAGCAGCCCAAGTGGGACTGGGTTAGCACATGTCCACAGCCGCCTCCCTGCACGCCAGCCTCTCTTCCAGGGGGGCATGCCTCTCAGCCCCAAGGTTTTCAGAGGGCAGGGCGTTTGTGAGGTCAGATAAGTCATCCCTGTGCAGTGCGCAGACGGGTCTTGGTCCTAGTGGTATTTGACAATAAACGTAATTTCCCATCCCCACTACAAATTCCCTGAGTCTATGGATCTTTCTTTGATTCACAGAGAATCCCGAGTTTCTAGAACAATCCAGGGCACAAAGTAGGAACATGATAAAGGTTTGCTGTGCAAATGGGTACATTTGTCCCCACCCTGATGGGGAGCAGTGTCTAAGGAGGGAATCTGGAAAATAGTGACAGACGCTATGGAAATCACTCCAGAATACTTTCAGCTGGGCATTCGCAGCTCCTCCCTAGTTTGCCCTCCAAATTCTATTCATTTTGCTGCCTCCCCATTTCTAAGAGCCCGACTCCTCTTGCAATTGTTCTGTCTCTGTTTCATCCAGGCTTTTAGTTTATTTTACGGGGGAGCTTGCAACAGATTCATCTTCTTCTCCCCTACCCCCCACCAACCCCTCCCCGTTCCCTGGAGCCAAAAGAGGGACTTCCTAAAAAATGAATCAGGTTAGATCACTCCCTTGCCTAAACAAATTTGAAATCTTCCCATTGCCTCCAGGCGAACATCCAACGTTGTTGGTCAGTGAGCACAGGCTCCATAGCGTTAGTCATCTGGAAACGCAAATCAAAACCACAGCGAGATGCCACTTCACACCCGTAGGATGGCTGTTATCAAAAAGACACAATAAGCCAGTGTTGACGTGGAGAGTTTGGAACCTTTCTTCATGGCTGGGGAGAACGTAAAATGTTGCAGCTGATGTAGAAAGAGTCTGGCAGCTGCTCAAAAAGTTAAACATGGAAGTACGGTGTGACCCAGCCACCCCACTCCTAGATAAGGACCCAAGAGCTTAAATAAACCGATGATCAATTTTCTAGAGAACACTGTTAACACTGCCTCTTTGTTCCCCATTTCGTTTTTGGATTTTTTGTTTTTAATTTTTTAAAAATATTTTAGTCAAGAGAGACACACAGAGAGAGGCAGAGACACAGGCAGGGGGAGAAGCAGGCTCCTTGTGGGGGGCCCGATGCGGGACTCCAGGATCAAGACCCCAGCCAAAGGCAGATGCTCAAATGCTGAGCCACCCAGGCATCACCTCATTTTTATTTTTAATCATACTTGATTTCTTTCCCATCTACATTTCATAACAAAGTTCCAACCCAGCCATCACCCTTACATCTACTAACCTCTGTGTTCTTGGATTCCAGTTTGTGGGTCTAGAACTTGCCACGAAGACCTGGTCCTTCCATCCACATTTAGGCGATCACACATTTTTACCTCATGCAGCATTGGTCCCTCTTATACTGGCCTAACAATAATATTCATCATGGAATGAATAAAACACTGATTAGATTGCACTGATTTCGCCAAAACATTAAATTAAGTTTTAAATAGATAATCCACGTACATGGTGGGAAAAGATGCAAGCAGTAGGAAGGGTATACGGAGGAGAGGCCATGTGCCTCCTACTGCACACCCCACTTTCCACTTCCCTTCTCCAAAGGCCTGTTGCAGGCAGGGCTTCCCAGGAAACAGTCTCTGGAGCCAGGACAGGAAGGTTATGGGGGCACTTCCTGGGGTCAACTCAGTGTAAGGGAGGGGAGGGCAGTAGAATGGGGCAGAGGGAGTCTCTGGGAAGCCTCAGTGAGCCCATGGGAGCCCAGAGCTGGGCTGGCCCTGCAGAGCGTCCCAGGTAGGAGCCAAGTCTTCATGATGGGCAGGTTCATCATCAGATGCAGCCCTTCCTGGGGTATGACCTTGGTTCTTTTCAGCTGCTGGCAGTCCCGTCCCTCCTCCTCATCGCTGACAGCTGTGAGCCATCTGCTCTGCAGCCCGCACTCCCTGAAACAGGGAGTAAGTCACCCTGAAGGGGGACCAGGTGGCCCAGTCCAGAGACCACTGTCGCCCACAGTTGGCAAGTAATCTCCAGCCCCCCTCTACCCTTTTTGTTCAAATACTTATTTTTAATTTTTGTTTTCTTGTATGTCCAGAAGACCCTTGCAGCCCACGTGAGCTGTCAGGAGCCTCTCTCTTCAATTCCCAGCACCCTCTCCCTGCCCCAGGGGTGGAGCGACATGGTGGGTGCAGCTGGGCCTTAACTTCAGGCAGCCTGGGGAGGAGAGCCTTGAGAATCAAGGCTTTTTTTCCCACCTTTTTTTTTTTTCTTTTTTCTAAGGCAACTTTCTAGGGCTCTGCAGTTATAAAAAAAACCTCCCATGTGTCATTTTCTGGCAGTTGGACAGCTGCAGAGCACCACTCGGCAAGCGCTCCTTTCCTACCCAGGGTTTAGCATTTGATTGATGAGCTGGGTTTGGAAAAGGCAGTTGAAGATTATCACAAATCTGTCGTAAGAAAGTTTATTAATTTATAATAAAAATATAGCGCAAAATACTCTTTTTCGGAATGCCTCATGGACAGACTGCTGCCAAATTCCATGGAAGGGCATGTGCAAGATTGATAGGTTGCTGGAATGTAGTAAAAGGGGATGAGCCCCATGTGGCAGAAGGACAGGCCACCCCAACATCAGGTGGCTTGCCTGTAGGGTGAGCAGCGCCTGCCTGGGAGGATGGCTGTGCTCCATCTCAGGATGTGACCTCAAGAGACTCATCTTCTTATCCTGTGCCCACTCCCAAGCCCCATGGCATCCTGCCCTGTCCTGCAGAAGGAGAAAGTGTTCCAGTCAGGAGCCCATGCCTACAGAATCCCCGCTCTGCTCTACCTGCCTCAACAGAAGACACTGCTGGCCTTTGCAGAAAAGCGGATGAGCAAGAAGGATGAGCACGCAGAGCTGATTGTCCTGCGCAGAGGGAGCTATGACGCATCCAGCCACCACGTCCAGGTAAGGTAAGGTGAGGCTGCAAGTACTCCTCTGGGAGTACAGGGACCATTCCATCCTTAGATGGCCGAGGTCTGGGGAACAGAGGGACAGGATACACTGAATCGCGAGAGGGACCCAGAGACCTATCGGGGTGGGGCAGAGAAGGTGTCCCCAGGTGATCACCTAGATCTCACACAGGGTAACCGTGAACAAGTCCAGTTGGCCGGGCTGCATCTGCTTTATTGCATGATGGGACAAGTCGGTCAGGAAACTGATGTTTGGAAAGCTTCCCACATCCCTGAAAACCTGAGGGAGGAGGAGTTTAGTATCACCTAACTGGGGGGTTATATCCTTTTAGTAAAATTTAACCTGGGGAGCAGAGTGAAGGTTGGAGTGACTGCTTGTGTCTTGAGGTTCCAGCATGTAGACCAAGTAGTTAATTTTGATAAAGACACCCAAGGCTGGTTTATCACATTTGAAGGGATTAATATTATTATAGTGATGACCTCGTGGCCGTTATTACACAGCAGCTATCCAGAGCATGGGGTTTGAAGCAGATGGACTTGGATTCAAATCCTGATTCTGTCCCTTACCAGGAGGATGGTCTTGGGCTACTTATCTACCCTGCCTAAGCCTCTCATTCTCTGGACGTGAGATAGAGCAAGTAACCTGTCCCCCAGGAGTTAAGGGTTACATTAGATGACACAACAGACATCATGCTCTTGGCACAGTATCTGCCCCTAGAATCATTCACCATTGGAGAGACTATTGTGGTTATTCCAGGGCTTTGCCTGTCCAGAATGGGACGCTGGACTGGGCTGGTGAGTCGGGAACCAAGATGAAGCTGGGAACGGCTCATGTCTGAATCATCTTTGTATGCTGGGGTCTAGCACACTGCAGGAGCTCTGTAATGTCTGCTGCTCTTCAAATGAGGAGGGCGCTGCCTTGGAGGGGGTGAGGGGGGCCCTGGCTCCCCCTGCTCTGGAGAGGCGTCGTACAGATGAATGAGTGCTGCATGGAGAGCTTTTCTTGGTGACCTTTGATTTTTACCCCCTGAGATAGACCACCTCTCCCCACGCTGCCGTTCCTGACACTGGCATTGGCCATTTCAAAATTGTTCTCCTCCTCCTTCCTGTCTCCTCGCATTCAGTGGCACGCTCAGGAGGTGGTGGCCCAAGCCCAGCTGGAGGGCCACCGGTCCATGAACCCTAGCCCCTTGTACGACGAGAAGACAGGAACCCTCTTCCTCTTCTTCATTGCCATCCCCGGGCAGGTCTCCGAGCACCACCAGTTGCATACGAGGGTCAATGTGACGCGGCTGTGCCAGGTCACCAGCACTGACCACGGCAGGTCCTGGAGCCCTGCCAGGGACCTCACTGGCCCTGCCATCGGCGCAGCCCACAAGGAATGGGCCACCTTCGCGGTGGGCCCAGGGCACTGTCTGCAGCTGCACAACAAGGCCCAGAGTCTGGTGGTGCCCGCCTATGCTTACCGGAACCTCCGCTCCCTCCCGAGGCCTTCCCCGTTCGCCTTCTGCTTCGTCAGCCACGACCACGGGCACACGTGGGAGAGGGGAAACTTTGTGGCCCAGGACACCCTGGAGTGCCAGGTGGCTGAAGTCGGGGGTGCGGAGCGGAGGGTGGTATACCTGAATGCCAGAAGCCCGCTCAGGGCCAGGGTCCAGGCCGAGAGCACCAACGAGGGGCTCGACTTCACGGAGGCCCAGGCGGTGAAGGAGCTCGTGGAGCCTCCCCACGGCTGCCAAGGGAGCGTCATCAGTTTCCCAAACCCCCACGCGGGCTCAGGAGCCTGCGATCAGTGGCTGCTCTACACTCACCCGACCGACCCGCAGCACAGAGCCGACCTGGGCGCCTACCTCCACCGGCGGTGCCCGGGCCGCGAGGCCTGGTCCAAGCCTGTCCTGCTGGCGGCCGGCGGCTGCGCCTACTCCGACCTGCAGGCCATGGGCGCCGGCCCCGACGGCTCGCCCCAGTTCGGCTGCCTCTACGAGTCGGACCACTACGAAGAGGTCGTCTTCCTCATGTTCACCCTGAAACAAGCCTTCCCCGCTGAGTTTGTGTCGCCGTGAGCCATCGTGGCACCAGGAAGGACTCTCCGGCTGAGAGGCTCAGGCCTTTGCCTCTGGTTTTCCGGTTTTCCCTGGGTCTCCCTCACCCGGGGAGGCCGCTTCCCTAGGGGAAGCACGTGGGGATTCCTCTCGGCTGGTCCTCCTCCTCCTTTGATGGTCCTTCTAAGGGATTCCACTCTCAGCCCACACGTTGAGGGAGCCTGGCTTCAGGGAAGGCACGGCCCCTGGACGGGCGGTGGGGAGAGCCGGCGCTCCGCAAGGCCCAGGCTGCCTGCTGCCGGCCCCAGCGTGTGCGGGGCTTGCTAAGTGACGGGGTCCAGGCCATCTCCTCTGGGTCAATGCTCCTCATGTTCCTGGGGAGAGGCTGGGACAAGGATGCGAATTAGCAGAGGGGCGTGTGTGTGCGTGTGCATATGTGCACACGTGTGCTCGTGTGTTCTCAGTGATGCCTTAGAGCAGACCGCACAGGAGACAGCTTTGCAGGGAGGTAGGGCAGGGCTAGGAAAATTAAGCCAATCTGAGTCATTATGTTAGTTTCCCGGGGCTCCCGTAACGAATCAGTACAACTTTGGTGGCTTGAAACAACAGGAATTTATTCCCTGACGGTTCTAGAGGCTAGAAATCCAAAATCGAAGTGTCAGCAGGATGATACTCCCTTCGAAGGCCCTAGGGGAGAAACTTCCTTGCCCTTCCAGCGTCTGGTGACCTCCACTCATGGCTACCCACCTTCCCTTAACGCCTCTATCTATGAATAGTTTTCTTCCCTTCTCCTGTGCTTTCGCTTCTGTCTCTTACAAGGACACCTGTCGTTGGATTTAGGGCACAGCCAGATAACCCTCCACTCAATTATATTTGCAAAGACTCTTCCCAATAATGTCACATTCACTGAGGTTAGGACATGGATTTATCTTTTGGGGCCATCCTTCAATCCCCTACACGCATCATAAGTGATTTTGGAACAGGTGATGTGGCCAAAGGTAGGAATGAAATTCAGATGAATCAGATAATTCCAAAGAACAAAGAGGGTAGGAGGGGCTGGGCTGTTGGATGTGCATCGGTGACACAGAGCTGCTCTGGGGCATTCAGTGTTTGTAGTGACAGGAATGCCACCCTGTGGAGGTGAAGAGAGAGGGAAAGGGTGCTGAGCCTGTGGGGTCCTCGCTGTATAGAAATGGCAGCGAGAAGACCACTCCCTGGTTGTCATGAGGGTGATAATCCAAGAGAGGAACCCTAGGTGAAGGGGACTGACACTTCTCTGACCTCTGGGGTCTTCAGGAGCCTTTGTCACATGTCCCAGTGGAAGAGTGGCCTCGCCCCCTGACCCCATCAGAGCCCCTCCTACTGATTGGATCAATCTAATAGTTTGATAGCAGGGATCAATGACAACAGTCATGGGTTCTTGCAATTGAGCCGTGTCTCCAGGTAGCCTGGCAGTGGTTAAATGGAATTTTTACAGTGCAGGGAGCTGGAAGTGTGGCTTTTGTTCTGGGTGTGTTTCCCCAGCACTGGTGTCCTATCTGGGTGCTACCTCTCTGTGTGTGGTTTTATGAAATCCAGCTGGAAGGATAAGGAAATAGGGCCTGGTTATTGCTGGGGTGGAAAGTAAGCCCCACTGCTTTGGGGATGCCACCTGCTGTCTTCTGAATCCTGCAAATTTAGCTATACAGAGGCCAGAGGCCTAGTCAGGGAAGTGAGGACACAGGCATGCAGGCCAGGGGCAGCACATTGTTAAGAGATTTAGAGGTAGGGTGGCCAGATAGTATATGATCCAAATCACAGGGAGCCTGCTTCTCCCTCTGCCTGTGTCTCTGCCTCTCTCTGTGTGTCTCTCATGAATAAATAATTAAAATCTTAAAAAAAAAGAGCCACTGGCACAGATCTCTAAAGTTCCTTCTACTTCTAAATGTATACAAATATTAAAGTCTTCTGATTTGGGTGAAAAAAGCAACAGTTGATTTGGTTAAAGATGAACTGATCTACTCATTGAAAAATACCACTAAGAGAGTGAAAATAAAAGCCATAGATGGGGAGCCATATGATGGTGCTCATAACATGGTATCTAACATGTTAATTACGTGTTAGATAACGTGTCTTCCAAGCATTACATATCCAGAACATATAAAGAGCTCCTATAAACCAATAAGAAAAAGAAAAACAATACAATAAAAATGGGCGAAGTGCTTGAACAGGCACTCCACAGAAGAGGTTATCATAAAGGCTGGTAAACACATGATCATAGGAGAAATGGAAATTAAAACCACGAGATACCGACTAGAATGATTACAATGAAAAAGATTGACAACAGCAAGTATCGGCAAGGATGTGAAGCAAGCAGAGCTCTCGTGTGTTTCTGGAGGAAGTGTAACTGGTGTGACCACTTTGGAAAGCTGTTTGGTAGTATCTACTAACACTGAGCATGCAGATACTCTGCGTTGTGAGGTTCAGCTCATCCACTCTGCAGTATGCATCTAAGAGAAATGAGTGCATAAAGGTGCCAAAGACTCATATAAGAAGGTTTAGGGCAACTTCATTTCTAAGAGTCCCAAAGTGGAAACAATCCAAACATCAGTCAAAAACAGAATGGATATCTGAATTGGGCAATATTCACACAATGGAATATTTCACAATAATAAAAGAATAAACTACCACTGCACACAATAGCATGGATGGTTTTCCAAACATTATATATTGAGTGAAAGAAGCCAGATTCAAAAGACTACATACTTAATGACTATATTTATATGAAATTCAAGTAGAGGCAAAACAAATCTACGGTGTATAAGTCGGGAAAGTGGCTATTTCTGGTGGAGGCGAACTATTCAGAGAGCTAGAATCTTCTGGGTGCTGGAAACATTCTATTGTTTGATCTGGTGCTGGTTAGGAGGTCAAATCCATATGTGCAAATTCAATCAGTTATACACCAGATTTGTGTACCTTACCGTAGGTATGCGGTACCACGATAAAAAATATGAAAGTTGAACTGAATAGCAGATTTGCTAGTTAAGCCTCCAAAATCAATGTATTATATTGGGTTGTAAAATGTTGGAGCTGAATTTTTATAATAAACTTTTTTGGGGGAGAATCATTTCAGATTTACAGAAAAGTTGCAAAGATAGTATGGAGTGTTCCCGTATACCCCACACCCGGTTTCCCCTGATGTTAACATCTTATGTAACCGTGGTACATTTGTCAAAACTAAGAGATTAACGTTGGTACACTACTATTAACTACACTCTAGACTCTATTCGGATTTCACCAGTGTTTCTACTAACGTCCTTTTTCTGTTCTAGGATCCAATCCAGGATACATTTAGTACATTTAGTGAAATTGAATTTTTACTATAATTTGTGTCCATGGAGACACACATATACCCACAGATTGATACACAGTTCCAGCAGCCCCTCGGCTCGCCTGGTGAGGCCTGGGAGAGGAGAGGGCATGGGACACGTCCAGGGTGGTTGCCTTGGAAGGCCCAGAGCCTGGCCCTGCAGAGAGGGCAGGCGGGCTGGTCTGCCAAACCCAGTGGTTTTGATAGAAAAGATCTGCCCCTCTCAGGAGACACCTTCTCCCTGTACAGTGAGATTAACCAGGGCAACACAGCAGCCACCGAAAATAACTAGAACTTGTCCATTCTTAGAGGTAAGGCCACCTGTAGCGACATGCAAAATGTTAGCCTGTAGAGATGGAAGTGAACTTGACGTCTTTCATGTCCAGCCTCCTCAGTTGATGGGGGATGAAAGCAGATCCCATGAGGTCCAATGACATCCTCAAGGCCACACAGCCAGTGGCAGGGCCAGGAAAGCAACCGTGTTTCCAAGCCGTGACCACTGTCCCCTCATGTGTTCTGAGTTGTCCCTGTTGTCCCTGTCTGACCATCCAAGAAGTATGAAGGGGTCTGTACGATGAGGTTCTGGGACGTGGAGTTCTGCGTGGCCTGTCTCTGCAGCCTGTGCCCTTAGCACGGGACACCCTGCCTCCCTCCCTGGCATGGCCTCACCAGGCACGGGGTGGGGGGGGGGTAGGGGGGGTGGATGGCAGCTCGGGAGGCAGCGCCGGCCTGCGGCTCGCCAGCTGGGCTGTTCTAAGAAGGCAGCAAGGCCTGGGGAAGGGAGAGGAGGCAGGAGAGCGCAGTGCTCCACGCCCCTGCTCTGCGTTGTGAGGTTTCAGCGCAGGGACCACACCGCCGCCCGCACAAATCCCCATCCCGTGAAGACGAAAGGAAGGAATCCAGGATTTAAATGTGTTACTTTAATCACACTGCTCAAAAGGTGAGAAAGCTGACTGTACTTTTGGCAAGGTGTTTCTTTTTCAAATTCCATTTTTGTACTGTTTTTAGGAGAGGGTTTTAACGGAATAGATGCTGAACATTTGGAAGTGCAAGGAAGTAGGAAAAAACCACCCATAGGGGCGCCTGGGTGACTCAGTCGGTTAAGCGTCTACCTTCAGCTCAGGTCGTGATCCTGGAGTCCTGGGATCGAACCCCACTTTGAGCCTCACATTGATCCCCGCATCAGGCTTCCTGCTCAGCAGGGAGCCTGCTTCTCCCTCTGCCTCTGCCCTTCTCCCTGGTTCATTCTCTCTCTCAAATAAATAAAATCTTAAAAAAAAAAAAAAAAAGAAAAGAAAAAGAAAAATCCCTCGTGCTCTCTCTCGCTCATTCTCTGTCTCTCAAATAAATAAATAAAATCTTAAAAAAAAAAAAGAACCCACCCGTAATCCCACTAAGCAGAGGCATATTTTCTTATGTTCTTTTCTCTGTGAAATTTGCTGAGATCATCTGCAGAATCAATGTGGGATGATGCTTCTTCTCCCCACTTGACATTACATCTGAAGCCTCTCCTCCATGTTATATTCTTGCAAAAGATAATATGTCAAAGAAACATACCATGAATTATGTAATCATTCCTGGATTATTGAAAATTGAAGTTGCTTTTCCTTTTTTTTTTTTTTTTTTGCTGTAATACAAACACTGAGATGAACATCTTTGTGAGTAAATCTTGGTCCTCATCTGTGATTATTTTGCAAACTGAATCCTTTAAAAGGAATTATGGAGTCAAAGGTGAACATTTGAAATCTCTTGAAATGTGTTGTTTGCAAATATAAAGTACAACTCTACATTATTAATTAAAATGGCGTTCTTCTTTTATATTTTTAAACACCTGAGCTCCTAGGAAAATGGATTAAGTTATGCGTTCATACCTTAATTTATAAGCCATGGTTCCTGCTCTCTCCCTTATGTGGTTTATAATCTATGTTAAAGATCAGCGGTAAGCACACATACAGAAAATTCTAAAATCACAGAGGTCAGAAGGGCCCTCCCTGAATATTCTCTGGTCTTTGTTCATCTGATGAGGGTAGACTAGAAGCCTGGGGAGGTGGGGTGACTTGCCCACAGGCTCCTGGATGCCTCCTCACTTCCCTCCCACCACCCTGGACCAGAAGCTTAAGGGTCCCAGCAAAAGCAAGTGGGATCCTGACCACTGTCAGCTCCTTTCCTTTTTCTTCAGCCCCAAAGGGTCACTGGTTGAGCACACAGGCCCTCCTTTCTGCCCACAGAGGCTCTGGGTCAGCGGGTGCTCAGTCTTGTTACCCAAATCATGTTATTTCCCTGGGAATAGCACATTTCTTCTTTCTAGTTCTTTCAATGAAAGTGTGGTTTTGGAACACCAGGGCCACTTGGTGTCCAGTGAGGACCAAACCTCCCATGTGCTAACTACTTATACTTCTTTAATCCATCCAGGAAACATTTATTGGGTGCTCATTATGTGCTAGGCACTGAGCTGATGGCATAAAGGAAAGCAAATGTTTCTTGGGGCCTGACTGTGTGCCAGGCATTATTCTAAGCCCTTCATGGGTGTTCACTCATAGTCCTCACCACCATCCTGTGAGGCAGATTACTATTACCATCCTCATTTTACAGAGGAAGAAACTGAGGCAGAGAGATGAAGCCACTTAACTATAGTCTTAGTGCTATGATCTAGCTGCTGAGTGGCCAAGCCAGGAGGTCAGGTTCCTGAATCTACCCTTTTCCTGCCTGGCCAAAGGAGAATGAGGGCTGGGGAGGAGTTTAACCAAGAACAAATGTCAACACAGGGCAAGAAGTCCCAACCCAGAGTGCAAGCCGGGAAGGAAGGAGGCCATGTTCCCTGCTACAAGGATATATATATAAAGAGTCAAGTTACAATAACAGTATTTAATTCACATATTTTTTAAAGATTTTATTTATTTATTCATGAGAGACAAAGAGAGAGAGGCAGAGACATAGAGGGAGGAGCAGGCTCCCTGCAGGGAGTCCCCTGATGCAGGACTTGATCCCAGGACTCCGGGATCACAACCTGAGCCAAAGGCAGACACTCAACCATTGAGCCACCCAGGCATCCCTCACCCGTCTTAAATGGCTTAGTATAACCTGCTGGGGAGCTTGCCTTTCATCCTATGATAAAAGGAAGGCATCAGGGAATCTGACCTGAATGAGAGGCTGAATCAGTTTTGCGTTTCAGAAAGAGAGCCTGGTAGAAATTTGGAGGATGGGGGGGGGGGGGGGGTTGAAGGCAGTGGTGTGACTGAAGGGACAGTCCCTTTCAAAATTCCTTCATTCACAAGGGTGAATGAAGCTGGGACCAGAGAGGCTGCATCGAAGGAAGTAGATTCCAGAGGGTTCTATAGCTGGGTGACTCATCAAATGTGGGTGGTGGGAGGGTGTGGGGATGAAGATGTCACCTGGATTCTGGCTTGGGAGACTGGGTGGTTGGTTGGGTAACAGTGGTCCAGATAGGTAACCATGTGGAAGAACAGGCCTTCAGTGTAAAACTGGAAAACTCAGGTGAGGTAGGGCTCAAGTGTCCATAGGATAACCACCCGGGC